TGATGTGATAAATTTACTTTTTTGAGCACACAGTAGGGTGACATTTATGCGAAACTAGTTAGTTAGCTTCTTATTCATTGATATATATATATATATATATATATATAAAAGAACGGTAAAGTGGCCATCAGTCCTGCCTCCCAAAAAAAATTTGGAGTACCAACCCAAAACGGCGTCATTCTCTTAATCCCAACCCCTCCCTTTTGCCTTTGCCTTTTCTGCAATCATCTCCATCTCTATCTCCGATTCCTTCTCCATCGCCTCTCATCTCCATCGACTCCTCCGAATCCTTCGATTCCACTGCCATTCATCTTCTCCGTCGACGGTGACCCCTGCTTTTTTTCACTTCTTCTGCAATCATCTCCATCGATTCCTCCAATTCCTCCAATTTTTCAAATGCAATCCCACGCCAGCGGCTTAATCCCTAACACCCACTACTTTAACCCCATTATGCTGCTGCAATTCATCATCTCCGTCGATTCTACCGCTGCAATTCATCATTCTTGCCTAGCTCTTCCTTCTTCGGCTTAACCCGAAAAAAATTGAACTATATATCACATGAGCTATCATTTTGCATCACAAAATTTTCCCATACCCATTTACTCAAGTAAGCAACCCATCATCATAAAAATTCAATAACATAAAAAACAAACACCAATCAGATTATAATGGAAACTGTACAAAACCAAGTGAACTGAATTTAACAGTACATCATTTGCAACAGAAAATCAAGAGGTTAATGAATCATATCCAAAGTTAAATCAAGATCCAATTACCCTTAATCCAAGTAGATCGTGTCAAAATTTCATAACATAGAGTTCACCAAAAAACCAAAAGAAGTGAAACCCAACTACTGTGATTAACAAACAAACCCAAGAAGATTACTTGAACAGGGGCAGCAAAAAAACCTGACATTACTGCAAAAAATCAGTGGGTTTCTTGTGTATATGCCAACAATTTTTCATCTGCACCAAGGATGCAAACGCAGCAGCAGCCAGAATAAAAAAAAAATGAAAAGAAAAAGCAGAAGCAAGCAGTGCAGCTACATTACCAGAGCCAGCATTTTGCATTCTATCTGTGTTTACTATAGCCGCTTCATTCTCGTTCTCTAGACCCCTTTGAGTGCCGTGGCTCATCTTCCCTCTCAGCCATTGGTGGAAGCGATGATTCATACCTTGAAGGCTTCCTCTTGAAATGCCGCTCATCGTCGCTAGACTCATAATATATCGCACTGCTACTGCTCTTCTTTACACCGGTGGAAACAGCCTTGGCAGCAACAGCAGAGGATGATGACTTATGTTCATCGTAGTAACCATTGGAAGCTGCCTTGTCATGAGCAGAAGAAAATGCAGGTTCAGAGGACAGCTTGCGTCTCTTATTGGCCTCTTCCTCGGGGAAACATATGCGAGAGAAGACGCTCCCCTTATGCTTCTTGTCTGCGGTAGCTGTTGTTGGAGATACAGAAGCGGCTTTAATGGCTGCTTCAGTCCTGGGCTTTGCAGAGGATTCTGAGCGGTGGTGATGGTGGTGGCGGTCACGGTCTTTCTCACGGTCATCGTAATCGTATCAAATTTTGTGATGCAAAATGATAGCTCATGTGATATATAGTTCAATTTTTTTCGGGTTAAGCCGAAAAAGGAAGAGCTAGGCAAGAATGATGAATTGCAGTGGTAGAATCGACGGAGATGATGAATTGCAGCAGCATAATGGGGTTAAAGTAGTGGGTGTTGGGGATTAAGCCACTGGCGTGGGATTACATTTGAAAAATGGGAGGAATTGGAGGAATCAATGGAGATGATTGCAGAAGAAGTGAAAAAAAGCAGGGGTCACCGTCGACGGAGAAGATGAATTGCAGTGGAATCGGAGGATTCAGAGGAGTCGATGGAGATGAGAGGCGATGGAGAAGGAATCGGAGATAAAGATGGAGATGATTGCAGAAGAGGCAAAAGGAAAGGGGAAGGGCTGGGACTAAGAGAATGACGCCGTTTTGGGTTGGGACTCCAAATTTTTTTGGGAGGCAGGACTGATGGCCACTTTACCGATAAAAGAAACTCACTTTGTTTAATTTTAGTGACCAAAATTTTAATTTAGAGTTTTTAAAATTAATTGTTTATTTTTTATTGTAAGATATTATTTAATATGTTTATTTTCATTTTATTCTTATTTTGAAAAAATAATTACAATATATATAAAAATAAATACATTTATTTAAGTAGAGGTTAATTTGAGATAAATATAAAATTTTATTAATT